TTGTCGACACCGGGACATCAACTTCGGAATTTGCTGGCCAGTTTGGTCTGGGAGTGACCGCATTTGAATTATCATCAAAATCATCATAATCTGTGAAAGTATAGCTCCAGACTAGAGTCCAGCCTCCTCCTTCAGTGTCCATATCACAATAGACTCTGAACGCGTTGTCCTGGGTACCTCCGTCAAGATCAATCTGATAAACTCCCGAGGAGGCATGGTTATTATGGTCGAGGATAGCTTGGCACGAGTTGTGATTCGCAGTCGGATGGATGGTATCTATGGCTGGACCTACAAAATAAGGCATCAAGATTGCCTGGTCAATAAACGACTTATTTAGTATGTATACATGCCTCCTAAAATATTTCCTCGAGGAACTTTCGAGTGGCAAAGTAAGTCGAACAACCAATCGAAGTACACACGCGCAGCCAGCAGTTATAATAAAACCATGTGAAACAAGCACTTTTCGGTTGGAAATCTGGGTGGATAGAAAAGATTCCTCCTTCTCCTAAACATGTGAGATATTCAAGTTATTAGATGTAAATGTAAAAGACAAAAAAGGTTTTTGAAACGTAAAGGTTTGGAAGGGTGTGGTCTCCTAAAAACGTTTCAACGAGATGCATGTTTTAACTTTTCAGTGAGGGGCCTAACTTTTGTAGATCGTACACTAACTAATATAATGTTAAGCTCAGTAATAACAAAATGGTGTTAAACATGCCTGTTGTGCCTGTTGCCATGTCATAAGAGCGAAGAACAAATAATTCGTGTCACATGAAGAAAAGTCACTCGCACCAAACAACTCGCAACATGCAATTTTTTTCTTCGAAAAAAAATTGAACGATTTAACCAGAAAAACGCAGTGCAAGACTAATGCTTACTTACCGTCTTTAGGGCGACCAACATTCAACTGTAAAAATAAATTACAAAAATTACAGTCAGGACAAGTTACTTTATTAATCTGCCAGCAAGCTCTGCATTTCGAAAAGCGAGCGAGGCGAGCAGCGAATGTTATGCGGGAGCGAGCGGGAAAGCCACCAGGCCGAGTGGCCGACATCTCACGACATCACCCAAATGAAGAGGTTGTTCGAAGCTCATTGCTTGATTGGCATGCCTGAGATAAATTGGAAATTCAACTGTCCAAGAATAGGTGGATTATCTTAATGATTTCCTACCTTTTTTAAATAAAAAGACCCTTGCCACTTCTGAGTCAAATCTGGATGTTCTGTTTGTAGTTCACTAAGAAGTAAACATATTCCTTCCTCTGCTTTTTCCCTAAGAAAGTTTGCACCTTTACAACCCGACCGCCTCGCGCATATTTGAGAACAAGAAAATAAAGACTGTCCTTTAATCCTCAAAAAAACCTTTTCGTTCAGAAGAAATTCATTCTCTTCAACGGTAAAAAATGTACCACTTTCTTCTGCCTTTATTGCCAGGACTAAAGGTAATACGAAGAAAAGATAAGTTCTGTCCAGCATCTGCGAAGAGAGGCAACAAAACTTAGAATTTTAGTTGCTCCGCGAGAGAAAATGAAAGGAGAAACAACATATAATACGTGCAAAGTTGTTGTGTTCCCTCACCTTTAAAAAGGACACCATTCTATAGCTCCGCTATAACGTTGCTGGAATAGAAGCGACTGGCACAAACTTATAAGCTCAAAATAACTTTCTTTATGAAATGTTTTTCTTTGACTGCTTTGAGCTTTCAAATAGTACTAGTTTAATTAAAGATGTGTGCAAAAAATATACTATCTGTGATGACATTTGACACTCTGATTGTCGTAAAGAATATTTACTTCTTTCTGAAATGATTGATTTGAATGACCTATCTGACAGGGGTTTTTTTGCCACCTTCTAGATACTAAAGGAATAATGTTCCGACTATTCAATCTCCTTGTTGCTAAATCGAAAGCAATCTGCAAATGCACAGACCAAATTTGTTTTTGGTCACAATATCGCTACAATCTAAAGTTCAATATTCTTAAATTATAAATAGATGTTTGATTGCTTAAAGGATATTTTGAAGTTATCTCCTTCACTTGCTATCCCTCTTTTGTTCCTTAGTTCATGTTTTATTTTTCCTTTCAGTCTACATCTCGTGGTACATTTGCCTCAGATACCAGCCATCATAAACGGCCTTTTTATCTGCAGCTGTTAATTGATATTTCGCCTGCAATTGTTTTAACTTTCGCTTAAACTCAGTTTTATAATGGACAAAGTAAGCAAGGAGATTTTGATTAACATTGTTAGTTTCGCTGCATTCGACTTCAGCCGTAAACCTGACTATTTTTCTCGGTCCTAATATTCCGTATTTATTTATGCGATGTCCTTTTACCTTGACATTTTGCGACAATTCGTAACAACCTCGATTAAAACAGATGGCTATAGTCGTAATTTTCGCATTGTAGGCGGAAAAATTGGCTGATTTTACCGTAATGGAAAGTGATCATAATTATTTTAACATACAGACTCCATTACCCGAGTAAGGCTATTAATTTTGGGGCTCTTCTTCATAAAGTTTAAACGGAAATGTCAGCTATGAGTCAACAATAAAGTTGCTTGTCCGATGATAAAAACCATAGAAACATCACGTATGAAGAATATCTTACATCAAAATGTTAGCAGATTTTTGATGAATTTCTAAGGATTTTTTTTTTATTATTGATTTGGGTATTGGTTAACTGAATAAATTTTGATTTTTGAAAAACCTTGAAAAGCTAGGAAACTTTCTTGAAAGGCTTACAAGTAAGGTTATGTTCTCCGTTAACTCTTTTTGATGAGCAGAATAATGATGTCCAAATCGTCGGCCCTCATTTGACAGATACAAATTGTTCTTCTCCTTTGCAACTGGATTTTTTATGGCCAGAAAATAGATAAACCATGTGCTGACTTTGCTTTCGAGTGTTATTTACAGCTCAGATAGGACTGAATTTATTAATAATCAGTTTCTTTTCTGCTCCTGAAAACCGGCAACTTCGTATTTTTTTAAATTAAGTTAAAGGGATTTCAAAGTGCATTAGAAAAACGGAGATGGTGTGGATTAATCTCGGAAACTGAGGAACTAACAAACAAACCGTCGGCGGAAATTTTGCATTAGAAAATAGTTAATCGATCATTGAAATGTTTAAGTCGAACTCAAAGTTGCCGAGTCATCAGAGAGAAACTGATCTCATCAAAGCATTTGCGAATGGACACATTTTTATTCTACTCACCTATTACAACTACAATTCAACCTGTCAAGACCTAAGATATATGTTCATCATCTTTAATTCCCTAGATATGAAATGATCTTTCTTTTCCTTTTATCAAGAGAGCAATTGAGACGGAATGCATTAGGAAGTTGAATAATTTTAATTTTCAGTGGACAAAACCTTGTACCGAGAATTTTTAAAGCCATATCGCATTCTTTTTTCAAACTTTTCAAGGGCTATGGATGTAATTAGTTAAGCCCGAGAAAATAAATTTCAAATTTAACAGGAATTGAGAAAACACGGGTAAAATCGTCATGCGTAAGATAAATTTCATTTTGTGAAATTTGAGGCTTTTGAAGTTGAATGTTTTCTCGGGCTCCCATAAGAACGTTTTCGTCGGAGTTATTTCAAACAACTTATTACATTTATGGCCATTGAAAAGTGTGAAAAAGAATGCAATATGCTTGAAAATATGCTGGTACAGGGTTTTTGTCCACTGAAAATGAAAGTTACTCAATTTCCTAATGGATTTTGTCTTAAAACGGAATTACTCATATGTAGCCTTTAGCCGAGTCACATCCTTAATTTGCCATAATGGAACACTGACATGCCACACATTAGAAATCATTTATTTCTATAATAAAGCGGTGTTACTAAACTTCAAAAAAGGACAACTGAAAGTAAAACTGAAACAAAATAAATAAGGGAAGGTGATGTGATCGGTTACCGGCACAGGTGAGCGGTGGACAATGTGTGTAACTGCTTTGAGTTGTATCATGTTGACATAATGTTCTCGTCAGTCTTGGGAAAATTAGACTTGCCGCAAGTCGACCCCACGAGTTTCTAAGCAAGTGGAGCGAGCTTTTTAGGCCGCGAAGGAGCCGAGCGAGCAACGGAGTCGCGAGAGGTCGACCCTCCCCATATTAAATCAGACGAAAGACTCTTTTAGAAAGTCTACAGGGAAATGGACTTGTCTGGATAATAATTGCCTAGATCATGATCTTCATTTTAGTATATTTCTGAGCGCTTAAGTGAACTTGTAAAACGGCAGCCTCGTTTTTAAATCCTTGGTCATCAAACTATATACAAATAAGTCATCCCTAAAGTTTATATAGATCAGTTTTAGCGAGAATCGCTGAAATTCTCTTTTGCTATGCCGTCTTGCTTCTAAAAATTTATTCAGGCGCATATTGATTGTAGTTGTAAAAATAGTGAAAAAGAAAGGATATAATTTTAATTTGCTTTCTAACAGTACCTACACACAACGATTATAATTACAGAACTAACAAGAAATCAAAACAATCTTACGAAGCTAAATAGTCCATTTACGAATTGCCCGAGCCTCTGTTTTAAAGCATGGCTAAGTGCAAAGCCTTTGCGCGAAAACTCATTTTTAAAAGATAGATGCTGTACTTGGCTTCAATTTGGAATTTGGAGTTTTTTGAAACATGGAAATGGTTTACTATGCTTTGGTGCGTCACAATTAACACAAGGAGCAGTTCTTTGCTCCTGCAAACATGAGACAGTACTATAGTTTAATCTCCAGAAATGTACAACTCCATCAATAATGTAAATAATAATGTAATCAATAATTCATTGTTTAGGAAATGTACGAGATCGACTGTGAGTTGATGGTAACTTAAGTGGGCGGAGGTCATACAGTCCAACCTCTCAACAACCGCCACCTTGGGGCAGGAGAAAGTCAGGCCGTTGTCGAGAAGTGGCCGTTATGGGGAGGTAGGGGTGTAATACGACAAATTCTTATTAAGGAGTACAACATTTTTATTGTGCTATGTTCATGGTTACTATGTTCCAAGGTGTTACAATATTTTTTTTTTTGCTACGTTCATGCTTACTGTATCCCATGATGTTACACTCCTTCAATAAGAATGTTGTTTTTCCGGCCCATGCTGAATATTCTTATTTTTCTGCTACATGATTTAAGACTGAAAATATAATTTGTATTATTCTTAAATTATAGCTTATGACATTTCCGTTTAAGAATGTTTGGGAGTGTCAATTATAGTTAGTGAAAGGTTTTTGCGATTTAGTTGTTGGCTAGTTTTGCCGTTTTTTCAAAATCTCGGCCTTCGGTTTATTCTTAAAATATTCATAAATTTTCATAAATCTTAGCCTCGATATTCTTATAAAATATATTATTACAGAAAAAGAGTGTAATCCAATCATAAATAATATATAGAGAGATAAAATACACACAAAAAACTTGAACAATGTTTTGAAACAACTGTTAACGTGACAAAGCGAACAAGTATCGTAGACAATTTGTTCTTACTGCATGTAGCAGTATAACCGCAATCAACGAATACAATTGCCGCGATCAGTCATCAACGCGCCTACGTATCAAATTTCATGACGGCCATTCTTGACTTATTCATCACTCGCTGAAAAAACTGGTCGTTGTCGAGAGGTTATTTTGGCAGAATGCCAGTTAGGGACACGATATAGCGGCCGTTACCGTTGTAGAGAGGTTTAATTTAGGGAGCTTAAGATCCGACGACGGCGACGGCAACGGGAACACCACAAAAACAATAGGTTTAATTAGCAAAACAACAATTTTGCACGTGCATCACGCTTTTTTGTACATTTCTTTGCCGTCACTGCACGACTACGACGTGAAAATGCCCAATTTCTCGATGTACAGAGGAAGTACACAAGCGACGACGAAATTTCCTCTCTCCTTCTGAACTTAGATATGGTTCTTAGGAATTCGACTTTAGGAGGGGTTCGCCTACATTTGACAAAGTTAGTGACTTGGAGTAATCGCGATGAAGATTGAAAGAACGCGAATTCACTTTTTCAGCGACGCTTTCTCTGCCGTCGCCGTCCTCGAATCTTAAGGTCCCTATTAAGAGTCAATGTACGGAGTGTCCGCCGAGACCGTCCGCCGGGACCGTTCGACTGTATATGCATCTCTAGGAAAAGAGATTTGTCTACATCTGAAAATCAGAGCTGATGGCAACCCTCCAAATACCTGACCGCTAACTAGAATTACAATCCAATACCTGAATGATAAAATAAAAGTGTTCTAAATGATTCTGTTGGAGGCTTTAAGAGAATACAGTCTTTGAAAATAACTAAATCTAAACCACATTGAACCCATGATTTATGGTGCCTTCGTCGTGATTCAGTGGAGAACGTTTCCTTAGTTCAGTTCCAGTCTCCCCAGGACAGCATCTCTCTCCTGCGCATGCCTTGTCCTGCCCACATTCTAAGGCACATTCATTACCTTTTTTGCCATCAGTTACAAACTCGGGTTGGATAGTAGTGGAGTGGATACCCTCGTTGTGAAAAAATCCCTTCATCTTGCTGGCAATGCCCATGTATTCATCTGGAGATCGGCATCTGATATGGGCTGAAGCTAAAATTAAGGCAAAAAGTGGATTACGTAATGGAAATTATTAAAGTGGGAGCATACGCAAAGGATCATTTTCGAGTTCCCCAGGACCTCTGTTTCAAAACGAGTTTAAGTGCTCTGCCTCTGATATGGAAATACTTTCTTATTCTCATGGAAATAAAACTCATTTTCACAAGAAAGGTTGAGCACTTGGCCCCACTTTAAAAATGAGAGTTTTTGGAACTCGGAAGAGGCCTATTTAACAAGTGAGAATGATTTATGACGTAAAACTTGTTCCCAGAAACCGCGTTACCCTTACCCTTACCCTAGCGGACCGGACTCTGGGGAAGAGATTGTTGTCGTTATGACGCCGGTACAAAACATGCAGAGGACCCCGCTTAGTGTTTTGTGCTTGACGCCAAACTTTATAGTCAGAATATCAGAGAGACATTCGCTTTTGCCTCGTTTGCCACTAGTTTATTTTTGCCACATTTTGACGTCATCTGTGTGATCGAAAACTGAAGAGACTTTTAGCAATTACAGATCATTCACCAGTCATATTCAGAACTCACCGATAATTTTATTTCCAGCCAACTGCCAGACATGGAATTCATGAACACCTAACACACCATCTACATGGCCCAACAGCCGATCTTGCACTTCCTTGATTTTAATATGAGTAGGAACAGTTTGAAGCAAGATCATCGATGACTCTCGCATGAGTGGAATGGAACTCTTCAAGATAAGGCAGACCATCAGAATACTCATACCAGGATCAACGTATACCGTCCATTTACCAGAGGCGTACTTGATGATCAAAGCGCTTATTATAACAATAACAGACCCGAGGGCATCCCCCAGAACATGCAAGTATACCCCCTTCATGTTCAGTTGAGCGCTTGACTTGACTTTGACGTCACTTTTGGCAGAATTGCTGGAAACAGAGTGGCTATTTTCATCTTCACCTGAGGGATAGATGATCATAAAGCAAAAGATTTAGGGTATTGCGAGCCAAATGTACTCTTGCCCTATACAGATCAGACACTCCAAATGTTTTATGGATTACATAGGTAAGGCCTGTTTCAAAAGTCGTGCTACTTCCGTGCTAAGCTGGCTCGACTGTAGTTCGACTGCAGCACGACTCTAGCACGACTGCAGCACGACTGTAGCTCGACTGCAGCACGACACTAGCACGACTTGGTTTCAGACGTAGACGTTTGAAACGGGCCTGAGGATACTGGCTAATTACCCTTCATAATCCGTTCAGAATATAAATTTTCATATCGTAATGCAAAACGTTATTAGACGTGACCGTAGATATGACTTAGATGAAATTAATTGGCATTTCTTGAAATCAAATTTCTGACCTAAATAAGTTAACTTTGGGATGGAATAAAAGGTATAATACTTGCTAGAATAAGAACCCTGAAACGATAACTAATGGAGAATAATTAGAATAACCAAACAGGTAAAATAATAAAAAAGACATTTCTGAGGGTACCCAAGACATGCGGCCTAGCTGGTATTGTAGATAATATTGGATCGCACTATCTTGTGGTATTTTGCTGGTATGTTTACGGTACCGTATTGCGTCAGTTGCCGCTCTTTTCCGCTGTGTATTGCGTGTGTCGGTTATGAAGTAGTAGTTGCTTTTAGTTTTGTTTTTGAGTTTTGGTATTTTTAAGGTTTTTCTTACGTTAAGGGTATCCGAATGATTATTTTATAGTACTGTACGTGCTGTTCTTCATAAACAGTTGATAGTCTAAGGAAATTCAATGTTACAGCAGCTCACACGGATAGTTCCTGAGTTTTTAGTAGTATCGCTGCGGTACGATTTGTTTAACTTAATTGTAGTTCTTTGAAGTAGGCATGTTCGGGGATTATAGCTGACCTTCGTGAGTTCTAGGTGCACTGAAGGTCCCTGCTTTTGTATGCTTGGTCCTACAGAGCAATTTTACCGCTAGCGTTCAGTTGGTTCTTTGGTGTAGAGTATTCTAGTTCAGCGACATGATACGCAATGGGAAGTTCTCACTTCTCAAGGCCAGGTCAGCTAACCAGACAAACACGTCTACAATTTGATTATTTAATTCGCTAGTGACGGGCTTGGCTAGTAGAAGAAAAGGTGTTGTAGCTGCAGAAGAATTGTTAGCGCTGAGAAGAATAAATGCCGTAGTAGTTGAAGAACAGAGTCTCGTTTCCTTCGTTAACTAGCCAAGCGAGAACCCTACAGTCCCCAACACTTGTCCCGCTTTGGTCCAGTTATACTTACCATTACTGGCCGAGGTACAATGATCCCTTGATTTATCTTCATCCTCAGGCTCTCTGTGATCAGAACTATGTTCAGTGTCATTGGTCTCAATTCCAACTGTTTCCTTGCCTAAAACGTAAAGTAAAGTGATTAAATGAACTATTGTCATGAAGTCGGCAGCGCACTGCGTTATTTGCAACTTTCGTCTTCTATGTTCTTATCCTCATTTGGGCCTCTGTACACTCACCATTAGGAACTACATCGCCATCAGTTTTATCCCTCGATTCATCTTTATCTTCCAGTGCTGAATGATCAGACTCCAGTTGTTCTACATCATCGGTTTCATTTCCATTATTTTCTTTGCCTAAAAAAACAACGATGACTAGACTGAAAAATACTAAACTAAACTTATACACGAAGTCTGACGCAATGTGAGGCGATTGAGACAAAGGGTGTTCAGCTCGCGCATAAAAAAACTCTGATGGATTTACAATTTGGATTGTAATTCTATTCCAGTTTATTGTGCCTTAGATCGCTGTAGATGCAACTTTAGTAAAATGAAACCTGTTCTGTCACGATTATAGGTTAGTTGACCTCAGTCAACAGAATTGACTTCTGTTATTTCTTTTTGGCAGTCGGGTGAACACTCCCATAACAATGTTAAGCTTCTTAACCAAAGCCGAGCTTTTAAAACAACATTAATCTGTTCCACTGCCGGGATTTTACAGCCCAGTTAACAAATATTATTTAAACAAGCTCACTCAGCTGATCTTATAGCTAAGTTTGAATTCTGGACAGCCGAGTACACTCGCCACTGCTCCAAAAAAGTCAAAAAGGGTCGAACACAAGCGTAATTGTCTTATTTTGCAGCCTTAAACCCTTTCTCCTTTAAATAGTAAATAAGTAGCCAATTTCTGAAAAAGAAACACGGATATCAAAAACAGCAAGTACTGTTTAATGTTCTATTAATTTATTTTGTAAAATATTTATAATTAATTACTGCAATTATTGCAAGCCTTTCATCTTGACTTATAGTTAATTATAGTCTATCGTGAATCTCTCAAGAAGTCAATTAGCCAAATGCACTTATAATATTATATATACCAAATAGCGTAGTTATATGATAGTATTATTTATAATCACCACGATATTATAACTGCAATTTAGCCTAAAAGTTCATCAAAACGAACTTTCAAGTTCTTGAGAAAATAGTAAACATAACAACGAGCCTAGAGTCTCGATTGATAAACTGGAACATTCACTGGTTCTAATTTATTAAATCGCGGTATCTAATGCAAAAGGCTTTTTAAACTCTTCATTGCCTTGATGCAAAGTCACGGTTGTCAGAGAAGTCGTTAGTGCCACTATGATTTACTAGCAAAAACAAAAATCACATAAGAAGAAAAAAAACGTGACATGGTCCACCATAACACTTACCTTCATCTATGGCTTGGTCGACAGCCTTGTGGCTCTCTTTTTCCCTCCGTGGCCCTGACTGAATGGCTATTTGTACATTTTCATTTTCTACATTTTCAGTTACATGCTTATTGCCATGGTTATCCTTGTGACCATTGCTACCACCATGGCTGTGCCCATGCCCATGTTCATGAAATAACATGAGGCCGATCACATTAACCGCTAAACCGACAGCTCCAACGATGAGAACCAAAACTGGGTTCTTTAGTGACTCTGGCTCCACGAGTCGTTTCAACGACTCGACGAGAATTGAAAAGCAGAGTGCAATAAGAAACACAGAGTTTACCAAAGCACCCAACACTTCAGCTCGTTGCCAGCCGAATGTGTTTCTCTCAGTTCGCTGGCTGCGTTTGGAGTATCTCAAAGCGAAAAAGCCGATTATCAGCGAAATAACGTCGGATAACATGTGAAACGAATCAGCTACAAGAGCCATTGAGTTTGTTGCATAACCAACTATTATTTCAACAAGAAAAAAGGAAGAAGTCATGAAAAGCATGGACATGACACTGCCTGTCTTACCACATAACATTTTCCTTAGTTTGCTTAGCATTGAATCCACCATTTTGGCTCTAAAATTGAAAAGAACCAAACCACGCTACACCTTACAACTCGTTAGCTATAGAGACTGTGCGCGTCAAACTAGTTTTGTGACAAATCAGGGAAGTTTATGTTTATAGATCGTCTGGAAAGCGGAACTTGTTATTTTAGGGTAGTATCGAATTTCCAATATCACAAGAGAGCACGCCGAGAATAAAAATAGAATTTCCAATGTCGATCGCCTGACATGATTCCTCTTCCGCATTTTCCTTCTCTTTATTTTTTCCACGTCAAACATACTGCGGCACATTTCTATAAAAATGCGACTTAGTCTGGCGCAAAAACACCAGACAAACTGTGAAGAATGTTTCTTAAAGAGTACAGCTACAATGTCCATTGACCGGGGGGGCACTCAACAAAGTTATACACGGGGAGGCTGCGCCCTGAGGTTAAACTCCATATAATTTTGACAGAAAGGCATGCGCCCCTTTCACAGACTTAGTTCAGAACGAATCCCATTTAAATGCAAGACGCGTCTGTTTGTACTTTTTGGTCCTTTCACAGACCGAAAAGACAGATTTCACCACCCATTCATATACTCACTTGTGAAATCCATACCCTTTCATAAACCTGAACCTTGAAAAAGGTACCGCTTTGTGGAGCCTCCCCTCCCGTATAGACCATTATAGGGACTTGTACCCCTGGAGGGTAGACTGTTCTATGTTGATGTCAGTATACATTTTCATGTATATATTGTGCATCTGTTTTTAGTTAGCCACGACCCCCTCCCTCCCCTCCCCTCCCCACATCACCCCAACAACGCTTCCTCGTATTCTATATATTGTTGATCGAGAACGTGATGAATAAACAGTACGTACAGTTAATGGTGACCCCTTCATATTTCAGGATTTACAAAGCGGATCAGGTTGATGCATTCCAGGAAACAGGGTCGTGGGCCTTAATGAAATTAGTTTAGTTAAATTGGCTTGATGACCCTGAAACAACTGAAAGGAAAGACATGCCAACACGATCTCGCTACGTTAAGAGACGTACCATTAGAAAACATATGGGGGGGTGGGGGGGGGCGGGCGAAGTACAAAAAAAAATATTCGCGCAAGGGAAAATTAAATGAAAAAAAATTCACGTACGCCAGTTAATCCTAAAAAATATTCATGCTATGGCCTAAAAAAATTCACACAAGGAATTTGATAACGAAAAAAAAAAGTTCCTGCGGCTCGAAATTTCCCCCCCCCCCCATAACTTTTCTGATGGTCAGTCCTTAATATAGTTACGTGTTCATACTATAATCAAATTATATGGTGGTCACAAAATTTAGTAACCTATTCAATTTTATCCTATTCCCCGAGTTAAAAAAAGAACTTTGAATGTAGGGGTCCGCTCAATGCGTAAATAAAACCAACCGGTTCTTTGTTGTCGAATCTCTAAGGTAGAGATGCTAATGCCAGACGTCACTTGAACTGGGAATTAAAATAAAACTTAATGCAAGGTTGGCAATACGGCAGAGGGTTGTTTTATTTGAGGCCAGTGTAGCCCTGGCCCTGAGGAAGGCCATGGATAATAGAAAGACAGTCTTTCTATTATCCATGGGAAGGCTAACTTTGTTAGCCGAAGTATAATCTCGTACCCAGATCTCCCACGGCCAGTGTAAAACAGAGTGAGATCTGGGTACGAGATTAGCCGAAGTATTGACCTCAAGTAAATCTTAAAGCAAATCAGCCCTTCGGTCTTGTTTTAATCCCCACTCTGAGTTTAGTCTACGTGGGTCATTCTAACGCCGATATGTTCGTGTTTCGTATCATTATAGCGTTGGCTTGGTCTCTATATGGACCCCCTCTATAAAGAGAAAAAAAACTTTTGAGAGCAGGTTATTTGAGTATTTGTCATTCTGAGGCCGCGCGAGAGACTGGGGTGATTTCCTGTCCAGAGAACAGGAAAAACGGGAAGGCCCTGGGAACTAGGTTATATGACACTGTTTTCACTTCCGGTTTTCAACGCAGTTTGGAATAAGCGGGCTAATATAACAATGGCAAAATAGCAAAAATGATAGATTCCCACAAAACAATCCTATGAGTCATTCAAAACAACAACTGACCCAGTATCACGTCGAGCAACTTCAACATTTGCCACTGAAATGCCTTCGACCTTCAGTGCGTAATAAAAATAGAAACCAGTATTAGTTATAGTTCAGCAAAGAACGTCATGCATATATTACTTTAAATTTTGTCCGTGCTACTTCTAAAGCGCGTGCTATGGCAGTTAAAACACAATGCTGAAATTGTTAAACTACAACAAGAAATTACACTTAGTACAAAGAGCAATTTGTAGTTTCTTCTGGGAAGTTCCGCTCAACGAACGAAAATACTTCCGTGGGGATCCTGGACGTCTCTCAATTGATTTTCCTGGTTTTTTGCGCACGGATCATGAATAGGCCATCTATATTTGGTGCAACTCACAAAATAATAATAACTTTTGTTTCTTCGAAGCAGCTGTGGTCCACAGTCCTTAAAGAGAATTTTCACCGGTGGAGATCCATCAGCACAATGCGTACCAGCGATTTTGTTGGCGATTTTACAAGAGATTTTTCCTGGTGTCCAGTCGACAAAGCTTCCTCCCCTTGGTGAGCATACCAGCCAGTTGTTCACATTACTTTTGACGAAGATTTCCTGTCCGAGTTTCTTCCAAAGTGAAAAGTCTAAGGCGTTGAAATCGTGTTCATGCAAAGGTGGTGTAGTAGAGACAGGCACATCAATGTCCGCCGAGATATCGGGCCATTCGGGCGAGGGACTGACTGCGTTAGCTTTTGACTTAAAATTTTCATAGTCAGTAAACGCGTAACTCCAAACTAAGGTCCAGCCCCCTCCATCGGTGTCCATCTCGCAGTAAACTCTGAACGCGTTGATCTGGGATCCACCATCTGGATCAACCCAGTACACACCACTGGGATGGATGGGTGGGGAGAGAGATTTGCACGAGGGGACAGCCAGCTCCCGTTTCGATCCTACATGAACAGATGAACATTGATACCTTGTCAACAACGTTAGGTGGATCAAAAAAGTATATTAAATCAATTAGCAAATCCAAGAAGTCGCCTTTTTTCTACATTCGCTCCTCGTGATAGCCAAGTAGAGTTGCTGCTCCATGAATTTGACGTAACTACTTGCGAAATAGTGACGACAAATCATGAGAAAAATAAACATCATCAATCTGAAAACCTCGAAAAAAACGTCACCAAGAAAGAAGGAGACACCATTTTCATGCCAACCCACATTTGCGATAATTCATGATCAGCGCTGATAGGCAAGAACTTACTTTTTCAACTTTTTCAAGATAATTGCAACAGACAAGAAATTATAGAATGAAGACTTACCTGGCAGATCGGTATTAACCTGTGGATAGTAAAACAACACCCTTCATTTTTCTGATGTCATAATCCCTTTACTTTAATAAGATGTCATTACTACCAACTCAGAAGTATAGCGACTGCCCATACTGTTTTCTTACTATTGGTTGATGCACTTCTTATGTTAGCATTTGATTGATCTTGATTGTGTTGTTTACGCCACTACAGAAACGAGAAAAAACTGGGCCGAGTTAACTTTCGCGAAGACTTCTGGGATTGTTAGGGACAGGGAAAAAATTGACCAATAGCTGCCCGACGCGTCCCCAGTAACGATTCCAGAAACAACTGCGGGACACATTTCGGCTCCCCTCTCCTGTCTAAAGTTTACCAGGCACGCTTTTTATTTACGCCGACGTGGAGGCGACCGTCTGGGGGCGGGAAAGCTTGGAGGAGTGTAAGAGATGAAAAAAAAGGACATGCTGAAAAGAATATATCAGCCTTTACATCTTTTATCGTTTTTGGGGGCCGGCATCCAGTATTATGCTACTTCTGACCCCAAATCTCGTAACCATAGGAACACTGCTAAAGGTGAATTGTGGAAAAGAAAATCCTTTAAGGCGATTTGGAAAAAGTCTTTTTAAGGAACGATCATTTATTATCTAGGTACTATGTCCAAATTTACCCCCAAACACAATTGATTAAGACATGGAAGAAGCTTAACAATAACGTTACCTTCTCCAAGTAAAATACGCCAAACGGTTTTTGTCGTGTGAGCTGCGATTTTTTCTTCGTAATCTGAAGAAGAGCACACTTCTTTTCGTCTTCTATAAAAATAGCACTTTTGCATCGTGTATCTCGGACACAGAGGTGAGAACAGGCAAGCAATGAATCAGAGTTCTTCTTTGCAATAGGATTTTCATCAAAGATAAGTGTTCCAGCCTCGCCTTTGACAAATGTTTCCAGACGTTCCATCGCTGCTATGGTGTTTAATAGCTGACAGATGATACATATTGTAATGTTGATCAGTAACTGTGGACAAAAAAGGATAAGAATTAAATTTTTGAAAACTTAACTTACAATTATTCAAAAAGACTTTGGTTTAAAAAAATCCGGCCAGCAAAAATTCAGTAAATACGGATTTTTTCTGGGCTTTACTAACACGCGTTAAGTAAGTGAAAATATGCTTTCCTCCCTAACAAAATTTGTCACCGAACGAGCTGATGATGATCATAAAAAAACTTTAAATCTATTGAACTTTGAGTATTTTTAACACTTTCGTGTCAAAGTTTTCAAGATTTTGGAAAGTCGATCGCGTGCAATGAATTACAAGACATCATTTCAAACAATCACTTCTAGTTAAAAAACCAACTCTAACGACAATTTGCCATACAGCATCATTCCACATATAAAAAACAATTTTTTAGTTTAAAAGGTTTGCGTTGCTGTAATTTGAATGCGTCACTTGACTGTGTTACTGCTATCCTTTTCTAAAATCAACATAGCAAAGGTACCTTAAATTGTTCCATCCTGCAGTTGACATTATTCTTTTAACTCTGCAAAAGACGATGGTGAAACTCATATTAATACGCAGTTTGACAATAGCCTTTTCATATTGAATTATTTAAGAGGATACAGAAAAAAGTTTCAAAACATTCACAACTGTTGTGCACGTTAACCAAAGTCGTGTTTTCCTAAGTTGTTAGTGGAGTTACAAAAGCAATTAACGTAGTTTTCATTTCAAGTTGACAAATGATTTACTGGGATATTAAATTTTGTTCCTGTTAAATAACAGCGCCAAAGGGGGCATTTTTAAAAAAAGGCCTTCCTGAAAATCAGAGTTGTGCAAAATTAGGCAAGTGCAGTTTTCTGATGGACTGCTGACAAAAGATTTGATGGGTCCTCTTCAAAAATGGGTCTACATGTACATCAATAGAGCCCAGTAATACTTATATTATTCTTGATTCAATTCAAAATTTATTACGATTCCCTCGTAATAAAGTATAAGTAAACAGACTTTCTTAAAGTCTTTTATTTATTATTTTTTCTTTGGTCGCTGCACGTCCTCATTGAAGCTCGGTTCGCTTGATTAAACGACTTTTCTCGATCGAGAAATAATTTATGAGAGTCGATTTGCAATGGCAGTAGAAAAAAGAACTATGAAAAACTTGTTTTCTACTTCTGAGCTTTTTTGTTCACATTATAGTTCAATAACCACACAACAGTTCAATAACCAGACCAGTAGCTAGTTTAATAACCATTTCTTTGGGCGTAGACTACAAGCATTAATGCCAAGGGAAATAGCCACAAATACGTTAGATTTTGTTAAATGTAAATGTTTAGCGATGACATAAATAGCAAAATGAGAAATAGCTATGAAACACTTAGGCTGAATTTCAGACGATTACTTCGAGTCACTTTTACTCCCTCAGTGAGTACAAACGACTCGAGGTAATCGTCTGAAATTCAGGCAATGAAGACCGGCTATATGTTCAAGTAAGCTCACTAATGTAAACAGGAACATAGACACAGTGTCATGCAGTATAGACTGGTGGTAATTTAAAAATTACTGATTAAAAATAGCCCGCTCCGAAGATCTGTCATTCTCATCAGGGGCATAGTGAGCAGACCTGGAAAGAAGGTCAGCCTTGAAAAGAAAAGTTAAATCGGTTCGAAGCAAACTTTATGCTGTAAAAAGACCGATAAAGCGCGCGCTGAAGGAGCAGAAAGAAAATAACGGCCATCGGTTGAGGAAACTTGTTTTTTGACTCTCTTCCGCACGTTTCAGACTCTTGTACCACAGCTGGCCGTACGTGCCTGAGTCGGCTTATATCAATCCATGTTTAATAAATAGCTCAGTGTGCCATTGAGCTCCGCTATGTAAAATAACTGATTTGGTAAATGATTTTCTTGAAGGTCGATTAGCGCTAACCCGGGGTTAAATTTTAACCCGGGTTCCTTTTTCTTTTGTTCAACTTTTTAAGCTTTCATATCTGAATTTAAATTTCGCCCTAACCCTAGGTTATTTTAACCCTGCTTTGCACAACCCGGCTCAGATGTCGAATATACTTAATCGGAAGCTGAACAGAATAAGATGCTCTAATCAAGAGTTGCTCAGACTCCAATTCATGGCTGTTCCTTGTAATTCAGAGCATTCTCGCGTGTTATGATTGAAAGCTTTTTTGTTTACGCGCAAATGTGAGGTAGTTTGCTTTTGTGATGTTCGTTTTATCTTCGGATTTCAACCTTAAGTTGTGCACGACATATCAAATCTCCTGAGGCATTCTGGTGTAGTTATAGTGTCATTACAGCTACGTCCCCAGGCTAATCCGCGCGATCAGGGAAACGGAGGAAGCTTGGAACTGAGTAAGATAGCGCTGCTTGAGGGGTGACGTTAGGGGTGACGTCACATCCGAAATCTCGGAGGACTACTGGGAATGAGGCTGGTGTTGACTATCCTTATCTAATTTGATTCATCATGCAAAATCTGTTAATTTACTGAGTACTCGGCACGTTTCATTAAATGTTATTTTGACCAGCCGACAACTGAAATCAAATAAATGCCATATTTTATTTAAAATACTTAAGTGGTGTGGGAAGTTATTTGACAATTAAATGTCGATATCTTCTGCACTTTACAATAAATGTCAAACCTTGGTGACATTTTCAGGAATCACCTATTGTAACAGTGTCATTTATTGGGAATAATAACTCCTTTTGGGCAGTCGGGTTAAATTTTATTACTCAGTTGGAATATCGCTCTTAGTCCGGCGCGCGAGGAGTCGGGTGAAATTTTAAAAAACCTTTGGATGTTCTTAGGAAATACTCTTACACTTCAAGAACAAGTTTGTTATTACTCATACAAAGTTCCTCGTTTTGAAGATGTTCGAAACAGCTCTTATCTTGTTGTACTTAACAGCAGTGGTAAAAACTAAAGAAGAGGGCGTTTACTTTGAAGTCAGGGAAAATCATTTCCTCTTTGATGAAAACACTGTTTGGGATCAAAAGGTCGACTCTTTGCTTTCGTGCTCACAAATTTGCGGGAGAAGAAACGACTGTAAATACGTTAACTTTAAAAAAGACCAAGGAATATGTTCAATAAGCGACAGACAGTCTTGTGGAAAGGTCGTACAACGAAAAGGGTATTTTTATTTGAAGAAGGTAGGTTATTTGAGCTTTATTTTTGACAGCTGTGATTCACAGTTGTTTTGTGGAGGAAATGGATTTAGAGGATGATTACAAAAACGTATTTACATTTGGTGCGGAGGCCAATAAAACAGAATTACACTAGAGATGGCGGATTATCCGTCTGACAGACGGATAAAATTAGACGGATTATTCCTCCAAAATGGACAGCGTCACTTTTCTACATTAAGACGTATTCATCCTTCTGACTCGGACTATCCGACAGAAAATCCGTCTCTATAGCGTTAAAACTTCTAAATGAATTCGAATATTCAATGTAATATATAAAATGACTGATCCATTGTGATTTTCTATAAGATATATGACATTTTATCTGATAGCGTAGATCTCATCTCAGGTTTTCAGACAAATTTTATTGCTTGCGGGGTTGTAGAGCTCCAAAACTAATTCCGATATTATTAAGGCCGTCGTAGGTTTGTATTTTATCTAAAGATGTATTTAAAAGACTATTAAAGTAACTGAATTTGCAATAAGATAGTTATGCTAAAAATGGCATATTAACCTTATATTTATATTACTAACATAGTTTTATTTCTATAGGTTGAATTATCGGAGAGACCCAAACCATTAGGTAAGTTTGTCATCATCATCATCATCATCATCATCATCATCATCATCACCGTGATTATGATTATGATTATTATAATTAGAGCGATTTTCGTATGACCTTGAAAAGTGGTTTCGGTAAGTGTGCGTTATTTATTTTATCAGCCATTGGATGAAAAGATCAAAACATGGACTCTTCGTTTTCCCGCCAAAGAAAACGCTAATATGGAGAAGGCATCCTTCGATTGGCCAATGGTGTTGCAGCATGGCGTCAAAGCGAAGTATCGACTGATTTCTAGAAAGTTCTTGGGCGTGAGAAGTTTCTTCACCCGAGCGTTCGCTTAACCAATCAAAAGCCATGAGCGTTTGTATCCGTTCGACAAACCAAACATATTGCTCTATTTCCGTTCGTTTGTTGTTTCTGTTTTGTTCGCGCGTTTTCATTTCAAGGTCATACGAAAATCGCTCTACGATTATGATTATGATTATTGTGATTATGATTATAATTATTATTATTATTATTTGGCCCTTATCATTTCGCTCCCTTTTTAACCACTACGTTTTTTTATTTAACACTGATTTTTAATTTGCGTGTGTATATAACCTTGTTTTCACATCTTCAAAGCTCGTTAAGAAATAGCTAATTACTTCAAATGATTATTAAGCGATTCCTTCTGCAGGCACTACTCGGCAGGTAGCAGTTTCCTCGTGCCAGATCCTCCGCAGTCAATCTCCAATTCCCACGTCGGGGATTTACTGGATTAATCCTAAGGGAGAGTCCCAGGCCAACGCGTTCAAAGCTTACTGCGAGATGGAAACTGACGGAGGAGGTTGGACCTTAGTTTGGAGTTATACATTCACGAATTACTCTGCATTCACGAGTAAATCAAACGCGATTACTCCAAGACCAAACTGGCCAGTCACATCAAATGTCGACGTACCCATCTCAACGACGCCCCCATTAAATGAAACAGACTTCAATGCTGTCAACTTTTCGGAGTGGAAACAACTAGGCAGCCGAGTCCTTATCAAGAGCAATATAAACAACTGGCTTGTGTGTGAGCCTGGAACCGGAAGTTTGGTAAATTGGCAAGACGGAAGTATGAGCTGCCAGATCGTTAAACACGTGACTGACAAGTGCAAAATGACGTTGGCTCCTAGTAAATTTGCTTCCAGTAAAGGCTATGGACCAATGTTTTACAGCACTGGTCACTGGAACAGCACCTACTACTACTTTGATGGCTTCACAAGGAATAACTGGCCTACCCATGATCCTTGTGGAAAGAACAGAGCAAAGCACCTGAAAAATGTAGCAGATCCACACGGAAATATCTATATTCGTTAGTTATCCTCCTTTCGTTTCCACAGACAAAGGGCACGAAGACAAAGAAAAGTTCCTGTACTTAACATTTCCTTGTAGCTTCATTGTTTGCTCGGGAGAAACCGGTTTTTGACATTATGGCAAAAGTTTCGAAACTAATTTAGAGAAGCTTATGTAGTGAAATAATTGTCGACCAGATAATTGTAACCGTCAAGAGGTAACCGTAGCAGTTGTGTAAATAATGAGGCGAAATTCAACCTGTACCCTTGTATACTTGACTACTTTATAAAAACAAAAGAAGATACCGGCCATGCAATTGACTTGGATTCGTTTCTTTCGTTCGTTCGTTCGTCCGTCTCTTACATACTAAATAGGCCATTTTACAGTTATGGATGGAAGCGAGGGTGAGCGTGACCTTGCTTTGATACAAACCTTCTTTTCTTTGTTATGGAAATTGTCCTTGCAAAATACTAGTAAGCATAAGAATAACTTGATTTACATAATAAAGCAGGAAGGTTTGTATCAAAACAAGGTCACCCTCAGCCTCGCTTCCATCCATAACTGTAAAATGGCCTATTATCCTAAGAGGATTCAAAAAAATGTTTCAAAATTATTTTTCAGCTGTTATCTACATCAACGATAGTTTTTCTTTCCTTTTATTTTAAAAGATGGGGGATAAGGAGTTCCTTTTTTAAATTACTTGCATTGCTTTAAAAGATTTTCCTGCATTTGGTTACTAGTTTTACTGGACAGCCGTTTCTTTCCAAGAAAATTGTCACACTTGATCGCAACAGATGGTTGCCTCAGTGTGGCGATATAATAAGAAATTTCAACAAGAAATACTTCATAAAAATCGTGGACCAAAATGTCCATTGCTTCCTATTGTTGGGTTTAAACACTGTGTACAAAGAAGAATGAGTAGAGCAGTGTTTAAGAAGACTTGTAATTCCCCGAGGGATTCATCGTCCAGTTATATAATTGACTATAGCCTGACTATAAAAGATTATGTTTTAGGTTTTATGATTTAGAGTTAAGCACAAAAGTGGGCATTTCAAAGACCCTCCTAAAACTCAAAGTAAATTTTGTTCATGAAACATCATGCAGGAAAGTTTAGTTTCCCTAGTGGACTTCTCGAGATCAGGTCAGAATTAAAATTGCGTTAATTCAACAAACGAAAAAACGCCTTAAAACATTGACAACCGCGTTTGCTTGTTTGTTTTCAATTTCTGATTTATACTTTATTCCCAATTCTGAGCAAAAATAACTGATAATATGGAAATGGTTCAGTTCCTATTTGAGCTGTCGGAGAAAAAAACTGAAAACAAGGTAAAACAAAAGAAAACCACAAAAAGCACAAGAGTAGAAAACCGATTTTTAGCCTAATGTTTTGGTGCAAAGCCTTTCCCCTTATTTAAGTTTAACCCTTTTTTTTCTTGACCTCATTCTTTCATTGGCGGACAAAAGCATGAGCTAAAGTCTGTTGGGAAATGGCGTGTTACAACTGTTCCTGTTTGGTATCCCTGTGCGAAACTGTGACATAAGAGTGCAAAACAGTTTGCTTTCGTGGCGTTCGTTTTATCTCCGGCTTTTTCAAGTTGCACATGAGATATAAAATTTCATGAAGTGCTCTGGCAGCTTGTGCAAAAATAATTCACTGGGACTTTCTGAATCTAGTTTACTTGCTCAATTCGTTGCTACATAAAGCAGTTTATTGTGCTCGGCATGTTTCATTGACGTTAGTTTGACCAGCCAACCAATAAGATCAGTTAAAAACCATCTAAAATAATACGTGCCGTGGGAAAATCTTTGACAATTAAATGCCGATATATTTTGCACTCTACAGTAATTGTTAAGAGTTGTCAAGGAATCGTCACTTCTCTCAGTGACAGTCCAGGGAACAACAACTCGTTTGAGGCTGTCTGTCTAACCCTCCCTTGACCGTAAGATCGGGATGATATAAAATATTTCACGACATCAACTTTATCTCCAGATTGAAGTACTTCTAATCGTGTAGTTCGTGGGTTTGAACTTAACGGCGGCAGCGAAAATTGAAGAACAGGGCGTTTTCTTTGGAGTCAGTGAAAATCATGTCCTCTTTGAAATTTCCTGGTTGACTCCTTGACTTCCTGTTCACAAATTACCGGAAGAAACGATTGCAAATACGCAAACTTTAAAGACTAAATGATATGTTCGATCCATAGCGACAGACAGCAGTCTTCTGGAAAGGTCTTAAAAGGTAGGTAACTTTATCATTTATTTTGAGATGCCTGACTCACTTTATCAACGAGGAAAGGAATTTATCAAGTCGTTATCAACGGTGCAAGAAGACCGATAAAATAGCCATAATATACCAAAAAGGTTTTTTATCTGCCCTGGCGGAGACTTTAAGCAAAATGTAGCACATCCACATGCAAATATCTTTATTGGTTAGTTTTCTTTTCTTTTCTTATCAACAGACAAACGGTAAAGAGACAAAAGAAAAGACACTTTCTGCACTTAAATCTTCATTGTTTGTCCGAGAAAAAAACATGATCGTACAATTTTCCGAACTAGGTTAGATGTGTGTGGGCAACAATGGGAGCGAAATTCCGCCTGTGATGGGCAAATTGCTGGATGGCAAACGACGCAGTGGGGCAAAGAATACAAAGAGATGACATCTTTCAAAAAGCTAATGTCTTTTCTTTTCAAGGTCTCACTGCGTCGTTTGCCATCCAGCAAGGTGTTTTTTCTACCATGTGATCGTAAGTACTCTGCAAACGGGGCATTAACATGTAAAGATTTACTGAACATCAACAAAATATAAAATAGCAAAAAGAAAAACAGAGACTACTCTTTTGGGAAAACTGAGATCTTCTTAATTTCCCCTGAGGCAGCATAAACAGGCGATGACATGTTCGATGACCATACACGCGTTTAAAACAAACGGCTGTTTTCTCTTGCGATCCCTTCACTAGACAGCAACCCCTTTTGTCAAGAAGATGCAATGAAAAGGTGTTTTCACAGTTTATAAGTGCGTGGAAAAGCGTGAATCTCTCAGACCTTTCTCTGTTCTTAAAAATACCTGCATCACCTTCTAGTAATTCAGGCTATTCCGCAGCTACTTTGCAAAACTTGTCTAAAAGGAACTTAATGAAGATAACATAACATTTTACTAGCTACTCAAAGTTTTTCTTTTCTTAGCAGTGTTCATGTAGGGTCTTAGTCTCCATTCAGTGTCAGCCTCGGTTTGATCCACAGTTCCCAGCTTGATCTCATAAACTGATGAAAAATTAAAGACAAAACAGTGCTACACATTTACTTATGTTTAACATGACTTAAGATTGTTTTTAATCCAGACACCACAAACAGCACTGTAACAACCCTATAACATACCTTTCATTTCAAATCTTGGTCCTACTTCTGATAATTCCACTTGTCCATCTACCTTTTTGTATGTGTGATGTCTGAAAAGAAAAAAATCCACCATTAATTTTTAATGACAATGATTAGGAACCTTTTTACTCCTGATGACAACAAAAGAAAAAAATTTTACATTTTGTAAAATTGGCACTACACAAAATTTCTACCAAAGCAGTTCCATTTAAATTAATAGTAACATCATAGGATTTTAGTTGGAATATTACCATTCGACAGTTCTAATAGCACCATGTGAAAGTATTGCCAAAACGATTTCATTTGAATGGTTACACCGTAGGATTTTGTCCACAGATTCAAAAGTTAGAATTAGTCAGTAACTAATAAGCCTGGGATTTCCAAACTGCCATGATGTACAACAATGTACGCCTATCTGTTATGAAAATCACAACTGTAAGGGGCAATTTCATTTACTTCACCTAAATGAAATGTAGTCATCTTGGTTTGCAAATGTGATCACCCTTCTGCTGTCTTCTTTAGGAACTGGATATAAATATTTAAGAATGCTTTTTACCTATTTGCAAACACAAAATAAAAAAGTTATTGCACTGTGTAACACAAGTGTAACCTTTAAAAATTGTAACAGATGCAAGTACTGCTACTGCAAAACAAAAAATTGAATTAAGTCAACATTAAGTGATGTGTCTTATACACATGTAAAATCTCACCCTTTCTCCAAGTTTTGAATTGAAGTTGTGGAATATAAGGTGAGGATATACTTCAGACATAGTGCCAATGTTAGGAATATCATGCCTCATTACCGTGTTGGACAAGGTAAAATAAGCCGTCGGACCAAATGGAAGATGAGATACTACAAGACCATCTAAAGAGAGTTGAAACAACAAACGATGTAATTAGTTGCAATCATTTACTGGTAGTTAAATTTGCTACAGTACACTAAAGGGCATTATAATTAAAATACCTAAAACTCCTTTTATGAAGTCCACACACAAAATTTATTTTTGCACTACATAATTTTGACCAATGCTACAATGAGTTGGCCATTGGACAATGTCTAACAAAATCGTACCTGTGATTACGTATAATGACCAAACAGATAAAAAACCAAAGACTATCATTTTAAAGCTGTAAATTTGACTTGTACATACAAATATATAGGCCATCAAAATGACCGTAAGCTCAAAAATCTTTCTGGTTTTTCTGACTAGAGCAGTTACTTAGTTAGGCATAATTTTTATGTCCTTCCAATTAAGACAAGATGTTGACAAGCTTCTTGATCAGCCAATATCAAGATTAGGAATCAAGTTACAGATGGTCAACCTACCAGGTTCCCCTCTGTGTTCATGAACAAGTATCAAGTCTGTAACTTCATTGGCTCTGCAGGCTTGCACCAACTGACTCAACACATAGTTACCACGGTTTAAGCGCTGACTGTTGGGAAATATCAACCGTAATTCCTTAGGAAAAAAGCAAAAAATCATGATAACATAGTGTCAAAAAAATTCAAACATATTTAACATGTGTATTACTAATACTTGTTTACCTTGGCAAACTGTTTTAGTCTTGAGCTCGGGTTATGAGAAGTTGTGATCATAATTTTGGGGTCTTGAACTCCAGCCCAGGCATACTCATCATCTTGATGGTTTCCTACCTCTACAGAAGGAAAAAGGAGATTGTCTCAGTTGAGAGGTCTTGCCTTTACAGTGGCCTGGACAGCCTGACAGCACCGGGCTGAGACTATTACTGTACGTTTGGGTTTTCATCCAGGAAGTTATAAGGGGGCATACTGAAGAGCCAAAATTAACTGAGAAGTTAAAGAAAATCGCTTTTTCTCCAAAAACTGGACAATCACAGAACATCCAGAAATCCTCTAGGATAAACCCTCGATTTAGTTAATTAGCTTGATAAAGCTTGCACTGAGAAACTTCCCTAACACACAAGAAGAAAGGTATGTGCTTACCCCCTCTCTCCTCACAAAAGACTGAGTAAGGAACCTATTAAATTTTCTGCTTATTATACTTACGCTCATGTTTCTCATCATCAAACTCTATAGCCTTTCTAAGTTCTGCTTCATCCTTCCTTAGCTCTGTTGGAATTGGCTTACCCTCTAATAAAACAGATTAAAAACACTATAAATTGTGAAGCTTGTTAACAAACCACCTTACATGGGGTTCAACTGCATAAACAGACTTTTGTTTGCCACTACTTTACTTTGCGAGCTGGCGTCGGAAAAGATATCTCTCAAGTGCAATACTTTGAACCTCTTTCAGGCTTTTGCTACATTAAAAAAGAAGTTAAACAAGACAAATGCCTTGACCAGTCAAATGACTCTTTTTGTGATATATTCCTGTAGGAATTATAAATATATGGGGTTATACGGAAACCTTACCGAATCTGTTTACAGCGGAAAGTTTTTTACAGTCAACTCACTGTTGACAAAGCAAAGGCATTTCATCCGCTCATGTGGTAATGTATACTACAACATGGTGGATTTGGACACAGCACATTTCATGACACTGTTCTTCAAGAAATGCGAAAGGACGATGAACAGTCACCTCTTGGACATCGGAAGTCATTACCTTCCTTGAAAATGATCAAATTTATTTAAAGTAAACTGCATCAATAGAAAAACCAAAGGATTATCTAAGCCAACCTTCAAGTGCTATCTTCAACTTCTTTTTTCGCTCATAGGTGGATCTTTCCTTTTCTTCCACCGATTTGCGATAGATATACTCTCTCCTTAGTCTAGCCTGTCTTCTAAGCTGTTGATAAACGAAGAAAAACAGTTAAATAATAGTTGAAAATAGAAAAATATCTAAGATCAAAAATGCAAAACAAAAACACGTGTAAAAGCCCACCATCTTGGATTTTATTCGGTCCCAGTCCTTCATGGGCTAAGCCCCTTAGCGACCAAGCCTCTACCTGCAGAATCTTTTTTCAAGAAAATCGGCAACGATTTGCAAGGAAATTTTCTGACATTTACCACATTTGCTCTTTGTGATCCCTACTACCACTTTATTTCTCGCTTTATTATTTAGGCAAAGAAAAAAAGCTATGTAATTTTTAAAAAGGGTTACGAACGTGCGTGACATTTGCGCCTAGATACCGTTCTAAAAATAAACAACAACTGATCATGGAAACTTCTACATTTTTAATTAATTGTTTTCAATTGATCAGTGAAAATACTCCTTTCTGTCAAGTTCCAAAATGAAAAATACACCGAGTCTGTGTTGATATCGACAACAGAGAAAAATCAAAGGTTCCAACAATGTGTCGAGATGAATTTCGCTTGAGAAATTTCAAACTATGGCATCCTATTTTGCAAGATTTCACACATTCGCGGGTGAGTCATTAACCGTTACATCGGAACACTTAAAATTTAAGTGTTTCTTCGAAGATGACAATCACTAATTTGTAACCTAACCAAATAACATTAATACGCGAAGCTGAATTTAATTCTTGACAATGCACACTCGTGAAACTGGATCTTTTCGCTTTTACGGCTCGGGAATCTATTTACACCGCTAAATAATGCACAGCTATCTGATCCCTTCGTGGCCGAAATTATGCAATATACGGTCAAAAGGTGTTGCAACACCAAGCTAGTTCTTCAAAACCTTATGTTTTAATGTGCGAAATCGTAGTGACAAAGCACAGGATATAAATCATGATTTTCCTGGTCAATTACTTGAATTTGTTCTGAGCTAATTTTTAGTTTATATCTTAAATTAAACCTGACAAAGGAACTCGATAAAAATCTGAAGGAAAAAAAAGAATTTGCCACAAAGAACCCGCCTTTAGTGATGATTTCTTGTTAGAGCCCAGTTTCGTAACTGTCAGTAAACATTGTTTTCCTTGCTCCTATTATACCGGGTACGGACTAAGCCATGTAGTAATTTTAGGTGGGGGACTTAATCCATTTCACCTTTTGCCTGTTTTTTGCTGCACTAAGCTAAGGTATTTTTTGTAGTAAAGGCACATTTTTAGTTACCGAAAAAATGGTACATCCTGTTATAAATATCAAAACACAAATATTTTTGCATGGATCTGAACAGGTATCATATGAAATCACTTGCAAAATAAACTTATAAAAGGGATTCTAAGAAAGTCTGTGAGTATTGCTCAAGAAAGTTTGGTTTCGAAATAAGTATTAGACAACAGCTTACTGCAACTTAAAACCTTCAGATGAAAAACAAGAAACCCCATCTGAAACCCTTTCACCAAAAATATATTAGTTTATATTTTCATGCACCATCTGCTCCGATCTGCCTTTTGTGTTGTCCGCGGTAGGTGGTTGAGTTAAGCGTTTGTTGCAAATGGAAAATTTAAACTAGTTGCAAAATTGCGAGCCCTGTTCTTCTTTAATTAAGTATATTGTTGATCCGGGTGAAAGGCTCCAAGCTATTTGATCGGGCCTCACTCAAGAACATTTTATGATTAAAACAAAGCTCCGAATGTTGAGGACTTTTCTATAATTTCTTATACCTTGAAAAATGAATCCGCCGGATAAACAATTCTCGTTAGGCTGATAAAAGACTGAACTGTGTGCGTTTAGACACCAAGTATACTTGCTGAAGTGCAGAGAGTTTATAGTAACCGGGCGGATACTAATTAACGTAACAGGGATTCACAAAACGAGTGCATTAAAGTTAAGGAAGAAATTCGAAGCAGGAGGGTGAATTTTGTGAAAATAAAACAATTGCGCCTCTCAAAATTACCGTCTAACTGTTACACGTTTGAACTTTCTTTCTCTAGTGTCTATCTATCGTGTTGATATTGTAGTGCAGAACTCTTTCCGTCCTTCCACAACTTAGTCGATTTCATTTACTGATTTATTGGGTGAGCAAATGATTGATCGATTAATTTACATGTGTGAATTTCTTTTTTTTCTCTCTCTCCTTTAGTGGCTTTCTCTCCCTCTGTTCTTGGGCTACCGCCTAATAGTTACAGGCTACAATCTCGCTTGGCTCATCTACAACATTTGGCTTTACAGAGCCAAGTTGTTCATTTTTCTGACCAATTGGACATTCACGATCTTAAATTTGTATTTCCTGCTTGCAACGGGCTTGACCTCTAGTGCGTTCTACTGCAAATACAGGAGGTCACGACGGGAAACCAGTCCCAGCTCTCCCGTTAAGGAAGGAACAAACACCGAGATCGAGATGGAATCTGGTAACGACAAGCTCAATGATGGAAACACCCCAAGTGACGAGGCCCGCGAAGAAGATGCTCTGCGGTTTCAGCACAAATTCCTGTGGTTGCTTTACATCATCAGCGCCAATGGTGGTTTGTTGGTTACAGCGGGGTATTGGACAGTGTTGTTCGAAGAAGACGAGCCAGTTGATGCCAACAATGTTACCAAGCATGCACTAAACTCAGTGTTTATGTTGATTGACACATTCCTGAGCTCGATCCCAGTACGCCTCTTCCATTTCATTTATCCGCTGCTATATATCATCATATACTTAGGTTTTACTGTGGTTTACTGGGTTCTTGGCGGTACAAACATCCAGGGTGAGAGCTATATCTACAAACTACTGGATTATGACAACTATGATCCTTCCACTGGCTGCCTGGTCGGCTTCGTCCTCCTCGTGGTTCAACCTGTTTTACAAATCCTGTTGTTTGGCTTTGTGAAGTTGAGAGATTACATTTACAAGAAGCAAAACGACTTCGTTTAACCCTACTGATTATAAAATCGCAGGGGCAAGGCTATGTTCACACAAAGTATGACCAAACATGTTGTGTCCCACGTAAACGAGGAGGGGGGTGGGGGGTGCGGTTGGGAGCTCTTCCTGTCTCGTTTTCTAAATTCGTGTATCATTCTCATGTCACGTGTCACGCAGGCTATTGAGCGCCCCCGCCCCCAGACGTTTTGTGTTTTAGATCAAATATTTGGCTCATAATGTCAGATATAAATTTATATTTTTAGTTTATGAAGGCCTTTATATCTTCGCCGTCTAAAGCATGGTAAGGATCCGATTTGCTTGTTCTTTGGCGTGTTTGCACGAGGCCCTTCCTTTTCTTTGTATTTTAAACGACTGCTTACATAGAATGCAGTCAGATGAATCCAAGACTGATCAGTCAGACACAAACAGCGTGAAATTCACAGCCGGATTAAATATAGTATATATGTATAAATGTTACTGGCTGGAAATTGCCTTTTTTAATATAAGGTTTAGAATCGACTCAGATACGGAAGCATAATCTCAGTACGTTTAAAACTTAGCCTGTGGTTGTAATTCCTGTATCGAAAATATTTTTTAAATCGTGCAAAGAATAAATAACCATTCATTAGGTAACTTGAATTGGTACAAAATTCTGGTTAAGGTCACTTAAAGATGTCCTGTTCACCACTTAGAGAGAACTGGGAACGAGTTGTACCTCATCACCAGGCCAAGACACACCGCGGACCGACAATGTACATGACGTCAATAGGTCATTTGCACGTTGACGTCATTTTATTACTACGACCAGAATCCTTCAGGGTTTTGCTTTCTTGTGTAAATTAAGGCTGTTATTTCTTTGAACCTCTCTGGGATTACCAAATTTAAAGAAGAACGAAAAAACGAAAAGGACTCTGGTCGTAGTAGTAAAATGACGCCATCGTGCAAATGGCCTTTTGCCCGAGTGCTTTCTTGGTGATCGCCACGGTGAGTTATCTCGCACCGAAAGCGATAGAAATCAGGTTCGCAAATCAATAAAAGGGTTGCGTAACTGAAACTAATCTGCTCAAAAGAACAAGGAAACTACTTGGTTTTTTTACAAGAGAGAATGTTTTTTTTATCAGAGGAATTACAGAGCTTGTGCTTCCGAGAACACAACCTTTAAAAATCAAGGCAAGAAAAAATGATAAACATTTAATTAATGTAGCAGCTGTTTTCTTATCATTCCCAGGTAGGTTGAGCGCGGGTTCATTTCCCGAACAGCGGCTGCTAATCTAGCCTAGTTCCCAAGCTCACGCTATTATGGCTAATCGTTGGGTAAATTTTGTTTTCACACGTTATGTGCGCATTGAATGCAATCCATGTTTATTGTTATTATTTGATACCAATTATATCAGTATAGATGAATAAAGGATTAAACAGCCAAATGGTACTGATATATGAACAATACAGATCTAACGAGATAAAGAAAAGATGCCTAAAAGAAATAACCATAATGTATTTTTCTTGTTCATAAATAGCAATAGTTTCATTTAGTCGACACAATCCAGTAACCAAGCAAAAAAGTATGCTCAAGTTGTTAACGTGTCTTTGAAAACCTTTGAATGTAGAGGTCCACTCCATGCGTTAATAAAACCAACTGGTCCTTTTCTTGCCGGATCTCTAATGTAGAGATGCTAACGCCAGACGTCACTTTAAGTGGGAATTAAGACAAAGTTGAATTCAAGGCTGGCAATATGGCAAAGGGCAGATTTATTTGAGGCCAATATTTCGGCTAACAGAATTAGCCTTCCTTAGTGCCAGAGCTACACTGAAAGGGAATACTATAACGGCTCCTGAAATTTGAATTTAAATTTACATGAGACGGTAATGACAAACTAGAATTGAAAACAATGGATAACATGATAGCCGAAATATTGGCCTCAAATGAAACAGCCCTTTGCCGTATTGCCAGCCTTGCATTAAGTCTGGTTCTAAACATGTCTTTGTTTTTATAATAGTTCAGTTGTCTTTTGTTTGTTACTTTGTTTCAATTTTGAGCAGTTTCTTTCCTCAAATCTTCTCAACCTCGTTGTCAGGTTCTCTCTCCTGCCCGTCGCTCCGTAGGGACGGGTAGAAGAGAACCCTGGGTACGAGAAAGACATCTCCTTTTTTACTTTTCCTTTTTTTTCATTAATTTTACTTTTCACATTTGATCCACTCTCCTTCCGTGTGACTGTCTTTTTAGAATTATGTCCCCGGATTTTTTTTTTTTCGCCCCGCCATACTGGCACAAGAAAAGGAAAAGAGAAAATAAAAAAGATGATCTTATCAAATTATTTTCGCCGGAAAAAGTTGATCAATTCATTAGAGGTGGCAGCCTTTGCCAATTCATTCGCAATTACAATTTAATTTGGTCTGAAATCCGTAGCTTTATACCTGGCCATTTTTGTCCCTCTTTACAAAAGAAATCTTCCAAGGATTAAGTTACTTGTCTTGGCCCATGTAGCCCCAATAAACGATAACCGTAGTGCCAAACCATTTGTTACACACCAAGCAATAAAAGCTCTCCATTCAAGCTCATAGTATGCGACTTTTAAAATTGTACATAATTAATCGCGGTGGCAGATATTAATTATTGATAAATGTCTGGGGACAGTTTAAAATTGTCAGTATTTTGTATAGTGTTCATCCAAACGTCAGTGGCGAAAACGTGCGAAAAAAAATCTATGTTCGATGTTACAAAACCTTCTATTTAATAACAGTAAAAAATAACACAAATGTCAAAGTTGGCAGACTTAACTTTAAACTGAGTAAATAGCCGCATCTGAGTAAACCTTTCAAGCCAATCGTATGTTTATTCCTTTTGTTATGGGTGAAAGAATAGAAAAATAGAATTATTGCCATTTGTTGCCATGGTGACCAGTACAGCTGACGGAGTTTTTAATTTGCGAAAACAATTGTGTTTTGTTTTAGGGCTTTATAAAGGTTTGTACAAAAGAATTTACGTATGGAGATTGAAATCGAACTTTTATACAATGAACAGTCCTACGTATGATTTGGGTTCGCTGTGCTCGAGCCCGTTGCTTTACGCGGAAGGAGAAGATTTTCTAGGGCAACCTGTCAACGTATTCGAAGACGAAGATATTAGTTTTGACTTTATTGACAGTTTTGAAGGAGATTTTTCGATAGCTGGGAGCCACACAAAAGAGGTACCGGCGACAGGCTCTGAACAGGATCAGATTTTGATAACCGAACGTACGACTTTAGGGGTACGAAATGAAATCGAGGGATTTGAACATAACAACGACCATCAAAGAACAATTAATGAGGAATCATGTGGAAACAAGCAGGTTATAACATCTAACAATGACAACGGTGATTCATCGATTCACGATTACATTTCCGTATCCGAGTGTTTCGATGGTACAGACGAAGTCACGAATGGAAGAACGGAGAATTTAAACATGAGACCCTTGTCTAAAAAGGCGGGAAACGGAACTCAATATATCCGAGAAAACGCGGACGAAAATAATTCGTTATCACAGACCAATCATGAGATAAGTGGCGAAAAACTTGACATTCAAGACGATTACAAAATCAACACGAGTTTATCGCCAGTCCAAGACGAAAGCCCTAACCCGAATAACTCACAAAAAATTGCTAGGAGTTATCCCAGTCATGAAAAAACAGTATTCTTGGACAAGATAAAATTACCTTCACAACAAGGGCAAAAAACGTCTAAAAGAGATTTTGAATCACAAGTAACAAGTAATCTATTGAAGAAGACAAATGTCAAAAAGGTTTGCAACGATTCTGAAGCATTTTGCGTGAAAACGTCTACTTTTAAACGCTGCATACCTCCAAAAACGTTTTATTTACCATTTTGGACACCGGAGAAAAGTACTGCGAGGCAGGGAAGATCGCTCGAAGACAGTTTATTAAACGCAGCACAGCGTAATGTGGACATTTTGTACTGTTATAATTGTACGACATGCGGGTCCAAGAAACCACACGTAAAAAAAACAAAAATTGCAGTAAAGACCAACGAGGTGGGTAACAAATACACTGATTTTTTGAAACGTAGGACCGTTTTTAAACAGCACGAAAGCTCACTAAATCATCATAACAAAGATATTAATGGCGAGCCATCTTGCCATCTTGATGATTCTTCTGCAAACAATGATAAATGGACTTCGCTACCAGCAATTTACACATCAAAGCCAAAGACTGCTCATAACAAACCGATCGGTGCAAGCACTCTTTCCTTTACTTCGATAGAGGAACTAATTAAAAAGTACAAAGGACATCGTTTCGATTTAGTTGAACAGCAAAAAAGGTATAAACTTAAGCCGTTTAAATAAGGTTTGAGCTATAGGAAGGATCTTATGCGTGGCTTTAAGTTCTTTTAATTAGCACCTAATCGTTGAAAACTGGATTAACCCTTCAAAATTTTGATCGTAAACAGAGTCGTAAACATTGCATACACTTGGAAGTGTTAATAAAAATATACTTTTTACAGCGTGTATTTTACTGTAAATAAAGCTATATCTTACTATCTCTCTTATGACTTTCTTTTAATGGACTCTATGTTAAACTGAGAAAAAAATATCAGCCAATGCGGTATTGGTAATTGGTTCTTTTGTCTTTATTCTGAGTGCACTGTGAGCACGTAAATAACACGAAAGTTTACGAAAAACAATTTAATAAATCGATTAACAATGTAAGATTTTCATAAAACTCAGTAGGAAAGATTTCCGCCGGATGAAATATTTTTCGGACACTATAAGTAATTCGTTAATTAACGCTGCAGAAGTCATCCACTCGTTTTGTTTTTTGGCGTTTTATTATTGTTTGAAATTACCGTGCTCAACATGGAGTTACAGCCAGCCATTGTCTTCTTTCATAAGGGCTGTTTGAGTCAATAGAATGGTTTTCAATTACGCAAGTGAAAGGAAAAAGGCTGATACCATGCAAGATGCCCACATCAGAAACTGTCAACAACATTTGCAGTAAACTGTTTAGTTCTCGTCGAA